AGAAGTGGTGCTGTGGCTCAAGTGGTAGAGCACTAGCCTTGAGCTGAAGAGCTGAGGGACAGCACCCAGGCCCAGAGTTCAGGCCCCACAACTGGACCCAAAAAAAAAGGCCTTCAAAATAAGTTAAAGCTTAGCTGGGCACTGGTGACTCACATCTGTAATCCTAACTACTCAGGAGGCTGAGATCTGAGGATTGTGGTTCAAAGCCAGCCCACGCAGAAGAGTCCCCATGAGACTCTTATCTCCAATTAACCACTGAAAAACCTAAAGTAGATCTGTGACTCAAAGTGGTAGAGTGCTAGCCTTGAACAAAAGAGCTCAGTGACAGCATCCTGGCCTTGAGTTCAAATCCCACAACCACCAAAAAAAAACTAAGTTAAAAGCAGCTGCTTTGTTTTATTGTTTCTCTTTAAGGGACAGAGAAGGTTTGATAATCAGCCCTTCAATAGGATGAGTGCATCAACTGGAAAACTAGGAAAGAATGGACAACTGTGTAATCTGTGTCCATACCAATCTTCACAACCCAAGGCCAGTGTGGGCCATGTGCTACATGGGACAAGCAGGCAGCAACAGGAAGAGTGAGATTAAACAAACGTATTGCTTCTCGAGTATTATTTCAGAGGAACAAACTAAAGGACAGGAGAGAGAGTTTGCAAAGAACCTGAAGGACACTGAGTATTTTCATGGTGTGGTAAGGTAACAGTAATTTTCATTTACTCAGTTTCTCTTAAAAGAAACCACCAGTTCTTCTGCAGGCACCAGAATGTGGTAATCTACTCCTAGTCTGGCAACAGGAAGACCTCTGGAACCTGCCTCCAAGGGAAAGAGGAGAGAAAACAACTCTTCAAAGCTCCTGGAAACTGCTCCAAGTACAACCGCAAATGATGAATATGCATTGACTGGTGGTGCTGCACAGTACCTGGGAGTCTGAGACTGCAGAGTTACAAGTTCTAGGCCAGCCTAGGTTACATAGTGAAACTCAAAACAAAAAAACGAAAAAAAAAAAAAAAACAAATAAAACATGCCAGGCGCCAGTGGCTGAGGCCTGTCATCCTAGCTACTCAGGAGGCTGAGATCTGAGGATCACAGTTCAAAGCTAGCCCACGCAGGAAAGGACATGAAACTCTTTTATCTCCAATAAACTACCAGAAAACCGGAAGTGGCACTGTGGCTCAAGTGGTAGAGCGCTAGCTTTGAGCTGAAGACCTCGGGGTCAGTGACAGCGCCCAGGCCCAGAGTTCAAGTCCCACAATAGACACAAAGAAAAAAAAAAAAAGAAGGAAACAAACAAACAGCTGGACACCAGTGACTCACACCTAGCTACTCAGGATGTTAAGATCTGAGGATCACAGTTTGAAGCTGGCCTGGGTATAAAAGTCCCTGTGAGACTCTTATCTCCAATTAACCACTCAAAAACTGGAAGTAGCAGTGTGGCTCAATAAATATAGTGCTAGCCTTGAACACAAAGAGGCTCAGAGACAGCGCTCAAGCCCTAAGTTCAAGCCCCTCATACTACAAAAAGGGAAGGGGAAAAGGAAGGGGAAGGGGAAGGGGAAAGGGAAGAGGAGGAAGTGAAGGAGGAAGGGTAGGAGGGAGGGAAGGAGTGAAGGAGATGGGGAGAGGAAAAAATATGTATAAAAATTCAGGCCAGGGGCTGGGAAGGTGGCTCAGTGGTAGAGCGCTTGCCTTGCATGCCTGAGGCCTTGGGTTCAATTCCTCAGCACCACATAAGCAAAAAGAAAAGAGCCGGAAGTAGCACCATGGCTCAAGTAGCCTTGAGCTGAAGAGCTGAGGAACAGCTCCCAGGCCCAGACTGGACCCCCCCCCACAAAAAAAAAAAAAGGAAAAATTCAGGCCAAGCACTGGTGGCTCACACCTGTAATCCTAGCTACTCAGGAGGCTGAGATCCTAGGATCCCAGTTCAAAGCCAGCCTGGGCAAGAACGTCCATGAGACACTCAGCTCCAATTAACCACCAAAAAGCCAGATGGAGAGCTGTGGCACTGTGGTTCCAGTGAGAGAGTGCTAGTCTTGAGGGGGGAAAAAAGCTCAGGGACAGCACGCAGACCCTGAGTTCAAGCTCCAGGACTGGCACAAAAAAAAACAAACAGTACAAAAGGTAGGAGTCCATGGTATTTGAACCAAAGTTGCTTCTTGCCTCCTTTCCCAGCTTAGCAAGGCAGAGACTCACTCCAGACTACCGCTCTACCCTGAAGACCAACCACAACCCAGGACCTGTTCCCTCCTGCTAACTGAGTACAACTCATCCAGATATGCTACAATACTTGACAAAGTCGCTGTGCCGGAGGTCGTGAGCCAAGGGGGGAGCCTGCCTCCTCATTTGGGCTGCTGGACCACAGACTGAGGGCCAGCAACAGGGAGTGAAAACCATTAATATCCAAGTGCTTAGTTTAGCACAGGGAAGAGTGCTGTGCTAAAGCTGAGCTGGAGGAGAGAAGAGTAGAAAACCAGCAACAAGTAGCAGTGAAAATCAAAAAAAGAGGATCTGAACTAAGATTAATGTGAGGAGAGGGACACGGAGAACGGATTCTCAAAGGAAGCGCAGCACCTGACACGTGCTAGAAGGCATGGGCTAGGCCCTCCAGCTTTCACAGGGGCACATGCCCCGCCCCGCCCCCGCTGAGCCTGTTCAGAAGTCTGTGAGAGGAGAAGTAGGGATTCCTGACTGGATAGATGAACGCAGAGTGAAGAATGGAGTCACTGCTTTCTGAGAACAAGTGAGGAGGGAAAGTTTCTGAATGGCAGAGCTAAGCATTTGTTTTCAGGAATGCTGAATATGGGAAGATTATTGTGCAATTCCAAGTGTGAAGTTCTCAGCAGTGCTGGGAAGTAGATGTCCTATCAGCTTCATCCTATACAAATTACTAAGGCACCAAATGCAGCCTCAACAGTCTGCCTCAAAGGGCATCAAAACGGAGCCTGGGACTGGCCAGGCAGGCAGGAGGAGAGCCAGGGCACACTGACACAGCCAGGGCAGATCAGCTGACCCAATGCTGACTGTGGGATGGGTTGAAATGAAGGGCAATAAGGACCCCACATGGTTATAGCAACTGTTTGGTGCAGTAGTAGGTTGAAAACAACAGAGAATGGGGAAAGGAAAAATACACAGACCTGAATCATACATGAGAAAGAGAAAGAAGACAAAGGCTGGGTCACAAATGGCCTGAAGATGAGACCAATGTTTGCACGTGATGGCAAGAATCCAGGAAATGGGAAAAAGATGGAGCGGTAACAGAGCAGCTTCATGCAGACAGGGTCAAGTGGCTGAGAGGCCCACCTCTTCAGAAAGGAGAGCAAAGTATCCATCCAAACTAGGAGGGGAAGGAGGGGAGTTGGACAAAAGTTCCTTTTGGATTTCTTCCAATTCACTGAGAAGAAAATAAATGCGCTGTCATTGGTTTGCATTTGTGGATGGGAAGAAAGCATCTGGAAGTGGACAGGACAAGATATCACTGAGGAGAGGCATACAGCCACCCCTCCCTCCCTGTATCGTGCTTCATTTATTGTAGCTTCACTATATCACAGATTTAAAAAAAAAAAAAAAAAGAGTGATCCCATACCTATCACAGGAGCTACGTTCCAAAGATCACCATGACAGACAA